CTACTATCATTATCAAGTGTTATATGTACTATACTTTTATATGCCTGGTAGTATAGTAGGTTTGTTTACACCAGCATCACCATAAATAGCCAAGGAGTGTATTGTGCTACATACAACATCACTAGGCAGTGGAAATTTTCCTGCTCCATTAGTACTTAATAGCACACCACCACATACGTGGTCCATTGTTGACTGAAATGCTGTGATGTGATACAGGACACTATCTATAAAGTCACACAGTTTCACTGTACTGAGATCTGATCATCCACTTCTCAACTCAAACCCCTAGAATGCTCTCACCAAAACCATATGTGAGGTCCACATTTCCTATGTGTTTGAATCTTCACCTCTGTGACTCGTACCTCTGGGATTTTCAGCAGCACCACCAACTTGATTATCTGGAAAGAACCTGTCTACCCTTAGGATTCTGCTTAAGAAGCCCCTTCTCAGTGATTCAGCCCAGGCCTCTCTGGACCGGGTAACTCCTCAAGGCATCTAGGCAGTGCTTTGTGCACACCTCAGCAACACCTCTCTACACCTTAAATTTCGCTTGACTCTATGTCTCTGTCTCTACTTCTGATCTGTAAATTCCTTAAAAACATAGGCACTGTGTTCTCAGTACATGGCACATAGGTATCCAAGAAATATTTTTTAATTTAACTAAATTCATTCTAGTCTTTTACTTACTAAAGTGCAAGTTGAAACAAAGATTGTGTTTGTGGAAATCTTGTGGATTGATCTAAACTAGAACCAAGTCTTTGTTGGTTTTTTTCTATAGGTATAAAACATTAAGAAAATTCACAGATGGACATAGTCTCCATATTGAAACTGATCTCATGTGCTTTGGTTCAAGTTCACTTCCAGGTGTGTCACATGCACTGTGGTTATACATTAATGTTGACTCTACAACAAATATTAAAGAGGTTGCCTGGAAGGCACAGAATTCTAGACCAAAAGAAAGACACTTGGGTTCTAGTCTTAGCTCTGCTCATAACTAACTTTGGTCAAGTCCCTATTCCATTGTCCCTTTTTAAAAATCATGGGGTCAAATTCACTGATTATTAAGGCCACTCCCCCACTCTGAAGGGCTAAAATTATAGTTTTTTCTAAGGCTTAAAACATTTTATGGATGGTGTACAATTGAAAGTCATAAGTTTCAAGAGGCTGAGCATTGTGACACCAGCCTCTTGGAAGGGACGTCAGCAAGGATGTTGAAGTCCCCAAGAAAGTTAACCATGGATGAAATGCAAGGTAATTTTCCTATATGTAAAGTGGGAATAATGAAGGCCATCTAAATTAATCTACATGATAATTCAGAGGATCAATTTACCTGATGCATATGAAAAGGCAGTATCAGCTGTCAAGAACTTTAAAAAGTTCTTATAAAAACTATTATAATAGTAGCCGGCTATAGGACAGGAAGACCTGTAGAAGTTTCTCTAGAATTTAATCATATAACTAATCAAATAATCTAGCACCCTTAGTTAAAAAAAAAAAAAGCAGTACTCCTTATATTCACCTATAAAAGACACCAGATCTGAAATCTCTAAGAACCATCTAGACTCATCATAACCAAGGTAAGAAAGAAAATTTGGCAAAGATTACACTGACATTTGAAATACATACAAACTGTTATTAATAATAACAGCAACAATAGTTCAGCTTGCACTTTAGAGTTTTTAATAGACATATTTTATCAGTTATAAAACTGAGTCTCAGAGAGGTTAAGTAATCTGCCCATTGCTTCACAGCCCAGTAAGACAGGAATGCTTAGGTTAGAGTTGCATAAAGCAAATTTCCCAGTTTCTCATGGAACAAGTAAGAAAATTTCTAAAACATAGATATAAATACATAGACAAAGTGATGCATGTGATAAATAAAACTGAAACTCCCTATGCTACAGAGCTCATGAAAATGATTAGTGCGTGTGTATAAAATTTTCATTGTTTTAGAATGGAAAACCTGACAAAAAGACCAGAGAAATGTAGCCCCAATCACACAGCAGTATCTGAAAACACTGAGTCCAACTTTGCAATTAGGAGATTTGCTCCTAGGCAGGCAACAAATAAGGTTTCATTTTCCAAGGGGACAGTGGGCAAGTGGGCATAGGAACAACAGGACACACATACACAGAGCAGAGAACTCCCCACACCCTCCGGCCCTAATTGTATAAACACACAGGGAAAGTAGTCACAAATCAAAGGAAGTGTCACTTGCCCTGGGATATTTCCTGGGATATACAGCTTGCCTTTTATTTCACCAATACACTGTATTGTAACATTATAGCATTTATGAGATTCCTAACTCCGTGCAAGTCCAAAAACTTTTGAGAGGGTGGAAACTTCTCAGTTGCTGTTTTTCACAGACTTGGCAAGGTTTAAGGTTACTAGATGGCGGAGAGGCTAAAGCTAAGAGCAAAATCCAAAGGAAGCTGCTCCTTGATCTCCCCCTTGATTAGCAAATGGATTTGAGGGGATTTGCCCTAGGAATTTCACATCTATTCTGTCACTTTAATCAAGAACCTCACTTTTTAAAATTTCCTAAGCCACAGCAGTAACATCTAAACTAGAATCTGAGTCCCTAATTTCAGTCCCCTCCAATCTATCTCTTAAATGATAACTAGATAATACCAATCTGACCACGTCACACTCTTTAATAAGTTTTTTTTTTTAATCTTCCAATAAACACCAGCTGCCTACAGGATAAAATCTACACCTCGCAGTGCTGAATCCGAAGTTCTGCATCCTTTGGCTCCATTCTGTGTCTCACCCTCAATCTTGCAATTCAGCCTCACCAAGTTAATTTCAGGACATAATCCCAGGGGTAACATATTCTCTCGTGTCCCCAGGGATTCATTCAAGCCAGGTTTTCTGCTTGAAATGCCCTTTTCCGCTGTCCATTAGACAAACTCCTATAATGCTTCAGAGCTTCAGCTCAAATGCCACCTGGTTCAGGCATCACCATCCCATCCCCTTCCAGGAAAATTAGTTGCTATCTCTGCCATGTGCTTTTACAGCCCTGTGCTGACCTTTTCCTAGCATTGTCCTCAATATGTTACAATTGCCTCTTTTCCTGGCTGTCATTCCAACTCGACCGACAGAGCAAGAATCATGTCTTTTATACACCTGTACATCCTCAGTTTGGGGAGGGTGTAGGAGAACACAGAATAAATGTTTGTGAGGTTTGCTGGAAACAGCTCATGAAGTATTTATGAAATTCCATAAGTATGTTGTAGACTGTATCAGGAACTGCATATTTAAAATGTTAGGATCTCTTTCAAACTGTTAAAAATCAAGGACACAAATTGCTACACTGCTAAAATGAGCTCACCCATTTGCTCCCAAATATTGACCCATAGACTACATACAATTTCTGATTTTTAAAATGTACTAGGTCATAATAAAATAGGAATACAGTAATATAGTGAAGTTTTCTACCATTCTCCATTTGTTTCCCTTCCTTTTCCTCCTTTCCCTTCTCCTCCTCCTTCATCTCTCCCTCCATCTCTCTCTTCCTCTCCCTCTCTGTCTTAAGTTAGCTTTGCTTTAAGAAGTGGAGTGGTAGTAAATATTAGCTTTGTCTTTTATTTTGCTTATTTGTTTTTGCCCTTGCTTGGCAATCTAAACACAAGTAAGTCAATATTGGTCTTTGTAATAGTCAGGGTCTCAGCTGGAAACAGAATTCACCCCGAATGGCTTAAACAAAGTGACTTCAATGAAGGGACCACTCACAGGCCTGAAAGGGTTAGAAGAATAAACAAGGGTGGTGAGATGCCCAGAGAGGTCCAGAGGAAAAATGGTATCACTGGAGCCATGGAGGAGCCACCAGCAAAAGCTACAGCTTTGGAAGGACATCACAATTTCCAAAATGCAGCACCAAAGCGCAGTATCTGTTGTCATTCCCCAGTCTCCTGCCAGGGAATCCTATTGATCCAAACCTACTGGAAGCTTAATAACAAGTGTGCAACTCACGAGGGTCAACCTTCTGGGCACAGAACAGGTCAAGGATGAGCACAATGGATAGGGGGAAGGGAGAATGTGGAATAACCTGCATAATTTTTCCCCAATGGTTTAGTTGGTCCATGAAAACTAAATCCTGGTACCACTAAACCAGTAACCTGAGCACTCAAAGGGAAACAAACTCCTAAGTTCTAGATTAACCCCTCCTAGTTATCAGCTGTGTGATCTTAAGCACACCTCAGTGCTACACTTCTTTTCCTCTTAAACCAGGAATAATAATCAATGTCCAACTACAAGGCTGCAGAAGTTGAAAAAAGCAACATATACTAATGGCCTTAGAAATGACAAAGTACCATAGTTTAATTTAATTGACATAGATGATTGGCTCTTAACAAGTAATAATCCAGACAAACCTCCATGTGGATTTTCTCCTCACATAGTGGAACATAGCTTTTCCTTGGGGGTTGGGGGCAGAAAAATGTCAGAAAGGTGAACGTTACTTTCATCTTTACCATCAATGTTATAACAAGGATAAACGTCATTCGTTCTAAAGAAAGAATGCTAAAGTAACCTTTTCACATCATGCTAAGAGGATTTAGGATATCCTGATACTATTATTCAAAATAAGACTGAAATTTACCTTGTTTTTTATGTACTTTATTACTTGAGGAAAATAAGAATCAGTGGCAGACTGCACATTTACTGTTATTCCCATTACTGTTATAACAACTGCCTTGTCAGCCAAAACTGAGTCTCTGCAGTGGCCTAGGGCTAAACAGAACATTACCCTGGGAACATAACACATTTTTATGGCATTTCTTTGGCCTATTTTTCCAAACACTCTAAAAATGTAGTAATCATGAACACTGTAATTGATTCCATCAACAATCAATAATCAATGAAGTCGTTCTTTGCCAGTTGGCTAACCATTACCACCTGGAGATCTGGGCTATTGGACATGCCAGAAGAGCTGTTTCCTCCAAGTCTGTTCCAAACATGCTTCCTATTACCTTCAGCTGTGACAAAGACAAGAATACGTACCATCAAAAAAATTTCCAGCAGAGATTTTAGAGGCTGTGAATGGAGGCTGAAAGTCTGAGTTCTGTTAAGTATTGTTCTAGAGATGTACAAATTCTGTAATAGGGTAGCAGAAAGAAAACAAGGATTAAATTCAGAGAGATTAGAGTCCAAATCCTTTCTCCCCTATATACTAGGTTGTGTGGCTGTGTGTAAGTCACTTAGTGTGGCTGGACTTCAACAAAATAGATAAATAATTTCTTCCTTATTGCATTGTTGAAAAAATAAAGAAGATAATATATCTGGTGCACCTGTGCTGGTACCTAGCATATAACAGTTGCTCACTAAATAAATGTAATGATGAGCATGAGGTTAGCCTACCATATCCCAAAGCAGAAGGGGTGACTGGCTGAAGACATCTAAAGTGAGTGAATATAAGGCTTGACTTTCTTTTCAGACAGAAATAAATGTTAATCAGTACTTCTCAGCTGTCATATTGTTTGTCTGCCTAGAATACCTCCCTCTTTCTGGGAATAGCACTCCCTTTTTTAATAAGGACGTTGCGTCTCCTTCCATATCTATCCAGCTGCAGTGAGGTTGACTAGCAATACTTCTCTATACCACCTGGACCATGTGACCCAGTCTGACTAATCAGGTCCTTGCCTGGGATTTTCCAAACCAGAACCAAGAGAAGAGAGACTTTTCCACCTAGATGTCAATGCTAAAAAGATATGGCCTACAATCTATCTGTGCCCCAAACTGAAGTCTCTTGGTTAAAACAGATCCTAGCAAAAGAAACTGATATGTAGAGTGAAGCAGAAGCTAAAAGAAGCAAAAAAGAGAAAGGGCCTGGTGAAAATTTAGTTCTTGATTTCAGACATCCCTGAGGCCAGTTGCAGCCCACTCACCCATCCTACAGTTTGGTTATCAGAAACAATATTTTCCTTTCTGCCTGTGCCAGTTAAATCAGTCTGTCATGCTCAACTATGCTGACTACTACAGTGGTCATTCATCTTACTAAAGGACAACCTAGATTCAAGACCACATGTTTCTACCTCTTCAGAGCACAGAATGAGAGAAATATTCATGAGAAAGACTTTGGTGGTGGGGACAAGGAAGACAGCATTTCTTCATTATCTCTTTAGTCACTCATTCAACAACTACTACAAACTTTTACTATTACCAATGTATGAATTCAAGAGAATTCAACATTGTCCCTATCTTCGTGGTCCAGAAGACAACATGAATTGAAAGGGCATGATGGTAGACTACAGCAGCCAGCACTCACAAGTCACTCTGGAATATTTGTCTGGATAAACAGCTTTGTTGCTCTGTGTTGAGACAGGGGAACCATAGGAAGTCACTGGATTGCAACGCAAGTGAACTAGCAACCAGAGAAAACTCAAAACTACTGGTATTTAGAAAGATAAGTAAAGTAACAGAAGTTCACACTGCAGCACCCCTAAGGGAACTTCCCCTCCCTTGGGGCAGTAAAACCTCAGCATACACTTGTGAGTGCGCACTTTGCTACAGGAGAGAGATACAACCTGAGCAGAAAAGAGATCTGAGTTCAGCCAAGTGAGTAAGGATAGAAGTGACAATTCCCAGATTTTCCCTCCAGATTTAGCCATCTTAGAATCTCCTTCTCCCCCTGCTTGGGATAGAACACCAGTAGACAGATACGGACAGAACTGGAGTGAGAAGTCATCTTAACTAATTCCCTTGGCCTCAGTAGATGGCATGGGGGAACAGAAAACCTCCACATTTTTTTTAATATCTCCAGGATCCAAAAGTCACTTTGCTCCATGAAGGCAGCTGGCACCCACCTGATTAGTTAGCTTGGGCCCAGAATAGTAAGAGTGACACAGGAAAACTAAAATCATGGGATTAGGTGAAATGCCCCAGAACCTGGCTTGTAGGAGACTAAACTCCAGGCAGGGAATGCCTCAGCAGAATGAATAGTGTGAAATCCAGTGAGCACAACCAGCCAGGCAGAGGGAAATGTCAAGAAGGAAAAGGGCAGGGAGCAGGAAGCAATGGTGATTCAAACATTGTATTATGGCAGGAAAAGAATTCAGCAGTGTTGAGTTTTGTAGTGGGAAGGGGTCCAATTCTGGGGGTACTACTGCAGGAACCAGTGGAAGACCGGGCACTCATAGCTTCCAATCCCAATATAGACCCTGTGTATCCCAAATCTTCTGCTCTGCTTGGAGGCATTCAAAGTAAACACGGCAGCATGCAGACACTGGTCTGCCATGCTCCAAGAACAAGGTCTAGTAATTTACAGAGCTTTGGCCCACAGTCCAGACATGCCTGTGATCTCACTCACATGAGTGGGAGATTTAGCAGTACAACCCACGTTCTTCCAGAATTCTCTTTCCCAGGTAAGGAGGAGATAGAGTTGACAGGAGTGGGCTAGTCATGCCACTGGCAGACCTGCCCGAGTACCCATTTTACAATCACAGAGGAGCAGTTGTAAGCCTCTGAACTGACTTAAATGGCTTCCCCTACTTGGACAGAAGTGAGGAAGTAGAATGCTGAAAAGAAAAAAAAAGAAAAGAAAAGAAAAGAGAAAAAAAATTTTCACATCCTCCTTTTACCAGATATGGTCCAACAATAGACGTCCAGGAGAAATAATTATCTCTCCCATATATATAACCCCACAAGGAGGAATATCAGACCTTGTGTGTGTGTGTGTGTGTGTGTGTGTGTGTGTGTGTGTGTGTGTGTGTTTGTATCCAAGAATATATAAGTGTTAGTTATTGCTTTCACTTCTATAATGTCTTACCATGAAAACATGTTTTCTCACACTAAGGGTTGTCTCATATGGTTTTCTAACTTTGTGTTTCTACTACTTCATTAATTGGATTTGATCTCCCTATACCTTATCTCACTTTTCATTTATATTCCCCTTCCCCTCTCCTCTTTCTTTTCTTCCCTTTTCCTACCTTCTCAAAATTCCCCTCTCTATGAGCTTATTTTTTCCTAGCCTGTCCTACATTATTACTATTGCTTTCTTTCCTTGGGTTAGTAAAATAGTAAAGAACTTTTTAAGCATATTTTAGATTATATATTTATATGTGTTTGGTTCTTTAGATATTGGTGTTATTGAGAGTTATTCTCTCTTAGCAAACCAGTCCTAGGGATTGAAACTAGTACATTGAATAGATTGAGTGGGTGCTTTTATGTTAAGATACACACACATCCAAGAGCATATCACAAAGAAAAAAAACACTTACTAAAAAGATCTCCACACAATAGTGGTAAGGACACCCACACAAATTGATCTGAGAACTTCAACACAGAAATACAAGAATCATGAGAAAACAAGACAGCAAAATACCTCCAAAATTTTTATAACTCTCAAAAATTTGAACCTATAAATATTGAAGTGGATGAAACTCCAAGCAAAGAATTTTAAAATAGATAATTAAAATGATCAATTAGATCAAAGAACATACAAATAAACATCTGAATGAATCAATTATTAAAATTATCAAGGAACTGAAGATACAAATAAACAGCTGACTGGATCAAGGAAGACAATACAAGATATGAAAGAACATATCAGTACAGAGATATGGTTTCTTAAAAAGAACTGAACAGAAAAATTCTGTTAATAAAATGTAAGTTAGTCAAATAAAAGCTCAATTGAAAGTCTCAGCAGTGGGCAAGGGGAAACAGAAGAAAAATATCAGGGCTTGAAGACAAGGTGGTATACTAGAATACTCAGTAATATAGAAGAAAAGAATAAGAAATAATTTTTTAAATCCCAGAGTCCTTGAACAACTCTGAAAGAACAAATTTGAGACTCCCTGGTCTCGGGGAGAGTGAAGAAGTTCAGACTAATGTCATAGAAAACTAATTCACTGAAATTATTGCAGAAAATTTCCCAAATCTGGAGAATGAGTTGGATACCCAAGTATGGAAGGCATTTAGAAATAGACATGAACAGAAAAGAACCTCTATATGACAAATCATAGACAAGCTGACAAAAATTCAGAAGAAAGAAAGAATATGAAAAGCAGTTAGAGAGGAACACCAAATCACTTATAATGGCAAGCCCATAAGAGTAATAAGAGATTTCTCAAATGAAATTCTAAAAGCCATGAAGGCTGGAAACCAAGTATTTCAAACCCGGACAGAACTTAATTGCCAATATAGAATACTATATCCAACCTATAATAATTTAAAGTTGAAGAAAAAATAAAAACCTTCCAAGATAAAGATAAACTAAACAAACTCATGACCACTAAACCAGCATTGCAAAGTATTTAATGGAATTGTAAAAATAGGGGGAAAAAAGAGACAATCACAACCACAGGATCAAAGGAAAGAATAAATTCATTTGGGAGAATACATAAATGAACAAAAATCAGGAGTGAAACAAACACTAGAAAAACAACAGAATGACAGGAATTAATATGTGCCTTTCAATAATAACATAATGTAAATGGTCTTAATTCTCCAGTTAAAAGACATCAACTAGGAGATTGGATCAAAACCAAGACCCAACTATATATTTTCTGCAAGAAATACCTCACCTGCAAAGATATACACAGACTACAAAATACAAGGATGAAAACTGATATTCCATGTAGCTGAAGCCCAAAAGCAAAGAGACTTATATATTATATCTGAGACTTATATCTGAGAAAGTAGACTTCAAACTAAAATTAGAAGAGACCAAAAAGGCCACTATATGTTATTAAAATGAACAGTTCACCAAAAAGTGATAATAATTGTAAATATACATGCACCAAATGTTAGCACATCCAATTTTATAAAACAAATACAACTGTAATAAAGGGCCAGATAGGCTCCAAAACAATAATAGTGCATGACTTTAATACCCTAATCTCACAAATAATAGGTCAACTAGACAAAAATTCAACAAAGGAACATCAGAGCTCAACTACATTATAGACCAAATGGACTTAACAGACATCTACAGAATGCTTTATACAACAGAAAAATATACTTCTTTTTCAGCATCACATGGAACTTTCTCCAAAGTAGACCATATTGTAAACCATAAATCAAATTTTAATAAATACAAAAAATTGAAATACTCTAATGGTTTCTATCAGATAACAATGGAATGAAGCTAGAAATAA